TACAATCCAGTGAAATGTTATACCCAAGCCCTGTCACAAATATTATGCGTCTTAACGCCAGCCAATAATCTTAAGTGTAAACTGATAATGAAAACAGTAATTCTGCTCTGATTTGTTTAACTGGCAATAGAAAATAATGTATCGTGGGAGTCTTATTAAAATAATAAAAAGAGGTATATATTTTTGTTGACAGAAGAAATATATTGTGCATTCCTCTGGGGTCTCATGTTGCTCACATTGCTGCTTTGTCTCATTGCCAGTCACTGAGCTGCTCTGCGTGGGTGGAAATGTCAGACTGTATTCGCTCCGTAAGACAATCTGTGTGTTACCCTCTGATTTCTCATATTCAGTTGGGTTTGCTTTGATGTTGTCCCTAGAGAACGTGCAGTTTTAGGATCTTGCTGGCAACTTTAGGCATCTGTTTTTTCCATAGAGCATCCTGCTACATAAATTTACTCCTGGTAGCTTACCTGGTTTTGAAACAGGCATTTCGCAAAGAGGTATTTTCAAACTGAAATGGGGCATAGTGACCCTGGGTAGTTACAGGGCTAGTTCAGTCTCAGGGAGGAATTGGAGTTGCCTGATGTAACGCCAAGGAGGGCTTTGAGAGATTCAACGTGTCTCCTCACATCTCCCTGCACCACACTGCCAAAATTCTCGCTTAAAATGTGCTTCTACCCTGAAAACTCGTAAGGTAAGGGCAGCATCCGCTCACTTTTGGCAGGTTCTCGCTGCTGGTACTCACAACCAAAAGTCTTCTAGTGCAAAAGTGTTGCTCACTGCCAGTGCTCGAGTGCTGGCAACGCTGAGCTGCGTTCTCTGGATTGTATGGAGTATCTCCAGCAGCATTTAGTTCTGTTCAGTTGTCAGTAGATTTGCAGCTACAGGAAAGGTATTTTACAGTTGTAGCAATGCACAAGAAGGAATGGGATTGATTTCTTTGTCCCTTAGCTCTGTTACTCTGCAGAGTATTGAAGTATAACCAGCAAAAGTGAATATGTTGAACTCTGCAAGTAGACATGCTGAGCAAGCAGATAACCTTAGTTGTAACCTTATTTTTCATTGTGTAACCAGACTTTCCATGGGTTTGCACAAGTAAATCTGGAGATTTAACATCACTGTGTTTGTGAAGTGTTGCTTAAGACATCTCTTAAGTCAGAGGATCTGCCTAGGTGTTGCTGAGGTAGTATTTTGGCTAGCAGGATATTCATTACTAATGATGATGTACGTGAAAATGATTTGGTTTTCAGATCACAGAATGCATTTGCAAGCTATGAAAGACATCTCCTTGCTTTTCGACAAAGAGCTCTCACATCCCTTGGTAATGACCAGATAAAGGTGGAAAACCACAATGCTATTTCTATGGAGTTGCAATGCAATGTTTCCTTTGCATTTTTCAATAACATTTCCTAGCTCCTTAGTTGAAAATAGCCATTTTGATGACAGCAGAGCTAGAGTAGTGCAAATATATGCATTCAGCGGAAGATAATTATAGAGTATGTGAATCTCTTTGATGGTCAAATCACTTCAGATGATATAATCTGTAAAATATTGAAAGTTGGGGAGAGTGTTGCTGCAGTTGCACTTTCTTGCTTGGAGCATCTGACATACGGGGAGAGGCTGAGAGAGTCGGGATTGTTCAGCCTGGAGAAGGCTCAGGTGGCTCAGAGCCAGCCTCTTCTCAGCTGTGCCCCGTGACAGGACAAGGGGCAACAGGCCCGAACTGAAACACAGGAAATTTCATTTAAATATAAGAAAACTATTTTACTATGAGGGTGGCTGCTCACTGGAACAGGTTTACCAGAGCATTTGTGGTGTCTCCATCCTTGGAGATATTCAAACCCCAGCTGGACACGGCCGTGAGCAATCTGCTGTTGCTGTCCCTGCTCTAGGCGGGGGGTTTGCACTGGGTGGTCTCCAGAGGTTCCTGCAGCCCTGGTGATGCTGTACAGGAATGATACGAAATGCTCTGGTAGGAGCCAGGTCCAGTGCCCCTTTTGGCCAGAGGACTCTGGCTCAGGATCTGGAGGGTGGGCAGTGTCTAGGACGAGACTGGGCTCCTGTCACCATTTGCAAAGTATGTGCTTTGGATTTTCTTACAGCCTCCACATTTTGCAGGTCCTAATTATCATCCTGAGCCAAAATATTAGTGACATTCACCTCTGCGCAGAGCACAAGAAAAGGACTTTGCTGGCTTTATAACTTGCTATACATTTGCACAGATCCCAGCCCGATGGGTATTGATGGTTGATTTCTGGTGTTACTACAGATGGTTGATTTCTGGTGTTGCTACAATATTAAAACATTATACTGTAGTAATTTAATCAGTCATCCTTAGTGAGAGTTTTTACATGCTTCTTCAGACGTAGAGAGTGTAAGTCCTACACCTTCCCTTTTCTGCGGGATGCAGCCTGCCAGCTCTCTTTGTAGGTGTCTGCTCCTGGTCCAGTCTGCAGCAACCTGGAGCTGTAGCTACAGTGAAAATCTTGTGGAGTCTTGAGCCGAATGTGTCTCTGATGGGTGGGATCTGGGGGGATCTCTGCTGCTCAGCTGAAGAAATCTTTCCTGAGTTTCCTGAATGTGCACTCCCAAAACCTTATGATGTTGTTGATTTTTTTTGCAGATGGTTCTGAGAACAATTTTGAACACTGAGCAAAAGTGTATTCAAAGTTCAGGTTTTTTGTATGGCAGAACCTTATTCTTAAAACCAGAAAAACTCTCTTGGATGAAATTTGCTGCAGAAGTTTGGCCTTAAGCGGAACAGTGACAGAGAAAATGCCAATCCAAGCGTTAAAAGCTGGTGGAGCTGTCGGAAACAGGCTCGTCACTGGGCCACGCGAGGTGCCGTTAGTAGCAGGCAGTTTCTTCTGCCCCACCTCTGCCGCCTGCCTCTCCGCACTCCTTGCTCTGGACACTGAGCCGTGGCACTGCGGGCAGGCTCGAACCCGAGCATTCGGCGCTCGCGCTGCCGAAGGACGGCTGGGAATGGATTTTCACCAGTGAGCTCTGAAAGGCTTCAGTCCACGCCCTTTAGGAGCATATCTGGGTCTTGCAAAAGATCACAGAATCACAGAATGGCAGGGGGTGGGAGGGGACTCTGTGGGCGCCC